TCATGAGGGAGGGGGCAGCGGGGAGGGAGGGAGGAAAATGAGAACTTGATGCCAGGGGCTTAAGTCGAGAGTAAATGTTTTGAGAATGATGAGGATAATGAATGTACAAATGTGCTTTACACATTGATGTATGTATGGACTGTGATAAGAGTTGTATGAGCCCCTAATAAAATGATTTTTAAAAAATGAACTCTCAAACATGGTATTGACTGGGTGGTCTCTCGTTTTGTTACACCCAGGGCCTCTCTGCCCGTGGACCAACTCAACAACACCTAACAACAGCACTGGTAAATTGATACAGCTTATTTTGCTCACATTGAATTTTAAAAGTTTATGGAACGAAAAGCTCATTTTACCGACCATTCAAAGAAATAAATAAACTGTAAGAAAAATGGGGTGTTTTATTTTAGCATACTACAAATAATATACTATCTCTTATTCTTCTTTAAGGGGATTTGTGTTAGAGATAAACCAGCTTCCATGTGGACATTCCCGCAGGAAACAGTAAAAAAAAAAAAAGGAAAGCTTTTATTTATTTTTATCAAAAGATCATTTTGGGGGAAGGGGGAAAGATCAACACACAACCACAAACCCCCCTCCACGGGGAAGCAGAACAGAAGCCATGGGGGAAGGGAGACAGTGGTCAGTGTAAGATAGAAAATAATAATTTATATTCTATCAAGGGGTCACTAGGTGGGGGGGGTGGGGGGCGGGGCGGAAGCTGATACCAAGGGCTCAATAGAAAGTAAATGTCTAGAAAAGGATGATGGAAGCATATGTACAAATATGCCTGATACAATTGTAAGAGCCCTCAATCAAATGATTTTTTTAAAAAAGATCATTTGATTGGGGACTCTTACAACTCTTGTTACAATCCATACATTGACTGCATCAGACATGTTTGTACATATGTTGTCTTCATACTTTTCTAGATATTTACTTTCTAGTGAGCCCTTGGTATCAGCTCCTCTTTTTTTCACTCCCTGCCCAGCCCACCCTTCTGACCCCTTGATAGAGTATAAATTATTAGTTTTCATATTTTACCCTGACCCGTCTCCCTTCCCCCATATTTTCTGTTGTTCTTCCCCGCTGTAGGTAGGTGTATGGTTGTGTTGATCATTGTGATCGGTCCCCCCTTTGTCCCTTCCTCTCCTCCCTTACCCCTAATCACTATTCCAACTCCTGTTCTTGAATTCCATGTGTTGTGAGCCCCCATTTCTTATCTCTACCTATGTACATGCTCTGGTCTAGTCTGAATTGAGAAGCAGTACTGGGGTCATGATAGTGGGGGTGAGGAAGCCTGAAGGAACCAGAGGAATATAATGTGTTTTATCAATGTTTTACTGTACCCTGGTTGACTCATCCCTTTCCTGTGGCCCCTGTGTGGGGTGATTGTTCCATTGTCTACAGATGGGCTTTGAGTCTCTGTTCCACCATCTACTCCCTCATTCTCAACAATGTTTTTGTTTGTTTGTTTGTTATGTGTCTTCTGAAGCCTAATACCCGGTCCTGATGACTCCTCATGATCGCACCGGTGGTGTGCTTCTTCATGTGGGCTTGTTGCTTCTCTGATGAATGTCCCCTTGTGTAACTTTAAGCCTTTAAGACCCCAGATGCTATGTCTTTTAATAGCCGGCACCATCTGCCTTCTTCACCACATTTACTTGTGCACCTGTTTTGTCTTCAGTGATTGTCGGGAGAGTGAGCATCTCAGAATGCTGATTTGTTAGAACAAAGTGTTCTAGGAGCAGAGGCCCAAAGTCCTCCCACTACCTCAGTGTTTTGCTATATAAATATATGTACATAGGCCAGTACCTCTGTTTTTGTGGATTAGTGCATTTACATCTGTACACAACTATGCTTATACCTCTATCCAATGCTTTGCTTCCTAAGTCCTTCCTCTGTTTCCTTTTACCTTCCTCTTTCCCCACCATCACTTTCCCCCTATTTCCGCCTCTTAGTACGTCCTCTTAGCTAGTTTGCTGTTGCTCTGACACCCCCAGGATCTCTATATCCTCATTGTTGTTGACTAATTCCCCAGTTGTTCCCATGTGTGGTGCTGCCTGCTCACCGCACCCTTCTCCCGCCATCCCACTGCTTTCTCCTCAGGCTTGCTTCCCATGCCTATCTTATATAGGTAGATATGAAAGCTTTTAAAAGAATACTTCATCTGTCTGTGTTTCATTACTTTTTAATGCCATAGATCTGCCCATCCACAATTTCCCCACGTGTTATTCAGGCTGTTTTTTCATATTGTATTGTTATCCACGCTTCTCACTTGACATTTTTTATTCCCTACTTTGATTGGTGAATTATCATTTTATGTCTATCTTATCCCACTGTTAAGGGAGCCCTAGTGGTATAATGATTCCACACTGGGCTGCTAATTGGCAAGTCAACAGTTCAAAACCACCAGCTGCTGCATGGAAGAAACTCTACTCCTGTATCGAGTTACAGTCACTCACAGTAGGCAGTTCTACCCTGTCCTATAGGGTCACTGCGAGTCAGTATTGATTCAATGGCAGTGAATTTTTGTTATCCCACGGTTCTATTTCTCTTGAGATCCTCTGTGGTTCTCGGGCTGATATCTCATACAAAATATATGCTTCATATAACCTCCACTGAGTCTAATATTTAGGAGTTTGAAATTTAGGTGATCAAAAGAGCCTATCTTGACTACCATCCTGAGACTTTTTAAATCTCAAAGTCAGCATATCACCTTTTAGAGGAATAGTAGTGTCACACAAAATACAGGCTAATACCTGTAAAATTGGTACCCTTCTTAAAAAAACATCAGTATGAGACCAAAAGGCCAGCAGTTATTCACAAGTAAAGATGAAGAGATAAGGAGACAGGGGGACTAGAGTACGACAAAGGGAACAAATGCCACAATTAAAGAGAATATTGACTCACTGTGATAAAGGTAATAATGTCACTGTACTAATTCAATTTTATGTCAACCAGACTGGGCTAGTGTTCTCAGTGGTTCAACACTAGTAGATGAGGCCTAGGAGTCCCCCCATGATGTGACCTACCACAATGTATTCAACTGCAGAATGGGATCTCCAGTGAACAGTAAAGCAGTTTTAACATTAGGGTGGTCTGAAATCCCTGCACACATCACAGACTTGACGCAACTGAAAATCAGTTCCCTAAGGCTGTGTCCTGCTTCCTATCCAAGGACACTTGAGGAAAGCTCACTTGAGTTTTGCTGAGTCTAGATTCGGCATCTGGCTCATGGACCTCCAGTTCTTTGAATTTGAGCTTGCTATATTGCCTGCCAAACCTGGTAGCGATCATCAGCCTGTCATCTGGTCTTCTGACCTTGGAATCTGTCACCTCTCCAGTAATAAGCCTGATCTGTTGACCTAGGACTCATTCGTTTCCTCAACCTGTGGTGTTCCTGCAGATCCTACATTCCCTTGGCCCTTAGAGATACACGCGTTAGAAGACACCTCCAAATTAATATCTGATGCACAGACTTCAAAGAGACAGACCTCACCCACTTCTACAACTGTGTGAGCCACTTTCTTGACCTCATTTTCTCTCTTTGTCTCTCTCTATATATGTATCAATGGTTTTGCTTCTCTCGAGAACCCAGCCCAACAGTCACTGCACAACTTGTCTGGAGATTGTCAAAAGGTAACCTAACTTGCTGTGTAAACTTTCATCAAAAATTCAATAAAATGGTTTAAACAAAACAAACAAACTATTCCACCAAATTTCTAAGTATTTTTAAGAAACAGGTAGTGAGAGGTTACTCTGGAATTCTGGTTTCCTTTACCTCATGCCCTTCTATTTTCTCATAGATAGGCATCTAAACCATCACATCCAGGCCACTGTAGTGGAATTTCATGGATACCCCTTTGACTTTGAGAACCACTGAAAACGTAAGATGACCCAGTAGAGGAAATGTGTTGTTTGCACACATGAATACAATGTAAGCACCCCCTCTCATTTATATACGTGAAATAAAGCCAAATAAAACAGAACAACTGAATGTGTGATTTATTATATGTAAGATTGGTTTATAAGGCTTAAATATGTCTGTCATAGTTAACAGTAAATGAATGCAACTTTACAAAATCAGTATTCCTATACAGTACAGGACTAAATGTGGTGGCTGTGCATTGGAAATTTAATACTTCCTCAATGCAAATATCAAATCCGCAGCACCATTTAGAAGCTTCCACTAAAAACGCTAGCTGCAGTCTGTATCACAAGCCTACTCAGAAGACGACTACTAAATCAAGCATTAGCGGGGAAAAAAAACAGTAGAGTCATTCAGGCATAATATGTCAGATTCGGTACAGGATTAAAATGCTAACTTTTTTTATAATGTCCTGGTTTCAAATTAATAAATACAAAAACGTATAAAAATATACACCAGTATTAAGACGGCACTGCCGATGATCAGGAAGCTAAATCTCGCTTTCATGTGTATGCAGGTATGTCTTTAGAGCCAGAATTTCTGGATAGCTACGGCTGGTCTTTCGGAAGAAATCCAGACTGGTAAGATGCTCAATGTCCCGCACCCGCGCTGTGTGCATTTTGATGAGTTCTTCGACCCATCTGGACTCATCCTCTGAGTTCTGAAGTGGAAAGAGAACACAGGTAGAGTTAGAATTTTCCCCAGGAGCTTCTTCTCCCAGTGACCCCTTTGCTCCGAGTCCACAAATGACCTCTATGCCCTCCTGTACACAGAGCCAATGTGTGTTCCTAACTCTTGGTCTCTTTGCCAATCTCCCGCATTCCTGCCATAATGAGCCCAAATACCTGGCCTTGACTGTAAACATTGTCAACAGCAGTGAACTGTCCCAAATAAAGGAGACACGTGGTGTGAGTGAGCATTGGACTGAATAGGTTCTCAGAACATAATTCAGTTCTAAGGAAACCAAAGGCCCTAGAGAATTCAGTCATTTGTTTCCTTTCTCGGCTCTCGGACTAACATGGAGAAATGAGCAAAATCATTGGGAATGCTCTTCTGCCTCTTAAGTCCAGTGAAAAGTCTGTGGTCAGTGCATATAAGAATGTGTGCATTCCTAGACTTCCAGGAGAATCTGTGCCACCAACTATATCATCTATTAGACTGGAGTGAGCTTATCTTTGAGTAAGAAGAAGAAGAGCCACTGATCCACCTGGGATTTGGGGCCTCAAGTAAGCTGAGTTGGAATTGTGGTGCCAGCACTTCTAGGCTACCTGGCCTGGTGAAGCTACTGGACCTCCCTGCGTCTCAGCCTCTTTATCAGATGGCAAGGATAATAATGCTTAAAACCTGGAGATAACAAAGGAAGGAAGGTATGGGAAAAAACGAGGAATGGAGGAGGAAAAACGTAAAGCAGAGAATAAAGAGAAAAAGGAAGAAGGGCGGGAGGTAAGAAAGAAGACAAAGAGAGAAGGAGGCAGGGCGGGGAGGAAGAAACTCTTCTTCCTTGTTTGTCAAGAATTGTCTCCTTGGTGCAAATTCCCAGGAAAAGGAATGCAGACGTCCCATAGTAAAAAATGTACGATGCCATGTCTAACACAAAATTGAAAAATGACTTACCAAAAGCATTCCTTTGCAACCTAAGAATATCTCCGTTTACTTTAAGCAGAAGTTGAAGAAAAGGAGGGCACCTAAGAGACCTTTGAGTTATGTAAGACTGACCACCTTCATCACTTGACTTGGGGTAAAAGGGTCTTTACAAATAATGCCATTTCCAAAGGTTCCCCTACGTTTCCTTGGCTTCCAAGAGTCTCTCTGCTAGGTGAAGAGTGTCTGTGTGCTCCTGGGTTTACAGGGCTGACTCGCCCTTCCCCATCTCCTCACCACTAGTGGCCTCCCTCAACTATTCACCAAAGGCCAAGAACCGGCAATGGGTTTTCTCGGAAAGCTCCAACCCACACAGACCTGGACAGGAGTAACAGCAGCTCCTGCCAGAGCTAAATATGCACCATGAGGGGGTTGGTTCAGGAAAATCATGCCTGGTCATCCCAGACAAAATGAAGAAATAGAAAGATGTGGCTTTGCAGGCCATAGAAGTAAGGTAAGGACTTTGAACCCTCGTGGCCCACCCTGCTATTCCAACTTCACCAATATCTCTGCAATTCACAGCAAGGGGCAAGTCTAAATATAACTCTCCCCACAACGATGCTGACAAACCCTCCGTGTGACCGTCTAATTAATGATGCAGGAGGTCTCCGAGCAAGCCAGGCCCCCTTCCGCGAAGGAAGGATAAGCATGAAGTGGTATTTGGGAAGGCTTTTCATATTTAGCTCATTTATTTGGTTTTTTTCAATGACAAGCTCAAATTTTTCTTTATAAAGGTAGTAGTCATTTGGAGTGTGGTAAGAAGTTTCCTTTTCCCCTGATTTGCATAATAGCCAACTGGGGTCATAGGCAGTCATGGGAAAACTCTGTCTCATGCTCTTTTTTTTTTTTCAGTGGGAAATGATTTGCCAATTGCATTTGCAGCAGCAGCAGCAGCGGCGGCGGTGGTGGTGGTGGCGGCGGCGGCGGCGGCAGCGGTAGTTCTATTTGGCTACAAGAAAATTTTAAATCCTTACTCCTGCCCTTGCCATCATTTCTAATAGTCAAGCAATCAAGTTAGTCTTTCTCGTCATATTTCAATTTTCCATTTCGCCTATATCCTGCATTTGCTTTGCCTCATACAGGAGCTCTGGTTACGCAGTAGTTACATGAGCCCTGTGATCTGCAAGGTCGACAGTTTGAAACCACCAGCTGCTTCCTGAGAGAACATGGGGCTTTCTACTCCTGGGAACAGCCACAGTCTCCCAGACTCTCGGGCGTAGTTCTCCTCTGCCCTATCGAGTCGCTCTGCATCGACAGCAACTTGGTAACAGTGAGCTTAGAATTTTTGTTTGTTTGTTTATACCCCTAATAAAATTTGTTTGGTTTATAACCATAATTGAAGCCACAGCCCCAAAGCTCCCCTGCCCATGAAGCCGGCAAACTCTGCTGGAGCTATTCTTCTTGCTCTTCGCCCTCACAAGCAGCAGTGTGTGTCTCTTCACTTGCATCCTCCCCCTAGAGTCCCAGGAGCAACTACTGGTTCTCCCAGGGTTCCTCCCTTCATGTGGAGTTAGAATAGTGCTTACCCACCAGCAATGTTCTTCAGTTGGATGAAACAAAAGCATAGAGACTCTTTCTAACATCAAGCTTGGAATATGAACTTTCCATCACATTAAAGACACCCGAAGAGGTATGTGACCCAAGGTGTAGAATGAACACCGGGCCAGGATCACACAGGACAGCGTGTCTCTTGTCTTCCTGAACAGGGCTTTTGCATTAAGCCCTAAGACCTCCAGGAAGATCCCCAGATCAAAATCAGTGGATTAGGGGTGAACCAACTTGTTTCAGATTTGGGAGACTAGCGCATCGTCCCTACTATTAGTAGCAAAGAAATTTTTTAAAAACCCTTCATTTGTGAGTTATACATCCTGTGAATGTGTGCGTGTGTGCATACAGACAATATGGTACTTTCCAAAGATCTATAAAACTTGAGAGGATAAAACATGAGTTCCCATGAACACTTGCCTGGGTTTCAACAATTATCGAAATGTTGCTATTTACCACTTTTGGCGTTCTTTTTACAAAAGATGCACAACTATGTCTTAAACACATACAAACCCTCACATATAAAAATAAGTTATTAGATACGAGGGTCTGATTTAAAATTTTTTTTAAAAAGCTTGGTTTGGATCGCTTCTTTTCACTGTGGTGGGGATTGTAAATGTCCTATAATAAATGGCCTCTAGGTAACCACAGACATGTAGCTAAGGAAAGCGTAACAAGGTCAGTATATCCGGAAGAGCCCTCTCATTGCACTCACATTGCAGCTCTCCTCGTTGTCCGGGCGGTGGGGAAGGATGAATGAGGAGACGGAGAGTGGCCCATCACACTTGTCGGCCGGCTGGGTGAAATCCAGGCAGCTGGTGACGATGCTGTAGTAGTGAGTCGGAACGGGAATGGAACTACCTTCCACGTACCTGGAGCAGGACATGTAACATAACATTATGACCAGCGGAGACCTTCCTTTTAAACATTGTGACACTGAATATTTCTCATGTCGTTATAATGAATTCCCACTCTGTTGTGTCACTGTTCGCTTCTAAACATTCGCTTGCCTTTATATCTTTCACCATACTGTTTGCTTGGCTGAAATCCTTCTGTCCCTGAGACTCGCAAAGTGCCAGCGCCAGCTTATCTGATAGCTGGAGGTTGGAAATGATCCGTGTATCAGAAACATAAGTCTAGAAGAGCCAATAACAGCCCAATTGTGGGAAGTTCTGAGTGGCCAGGTATGGACCTTAGAGTTGATTATTGGGGCAGTCACAGTCCTCTGAAGGTTTTTCTACTAAGAAATCTCATGATGAGATCCATGTTTTAGGAAGTCTGCTTTCGTGGAATTGATTACAAAATCCGTAACAGGAATCAAAGGACAAAACTGCAGGCTCCCGGGGAGGACTAGTCCTTTAAAAGAACAGTGAGATCCTGAACTGGGCGTAGGGAGAAGGAATTTACCCAAAGAAAGAATGAGTACCGAATGAATGCTACAGGCAAGCCTGCCGTTGTGACTGTCTGTTACCGAATACCTTCCGACCACAGCAATCCCTTAGAACACAGTGGACTTGCCCCTGGAGCTCCCGATGGGAACAGGTTGTCAGGTCTTTGCCCCAGCAAAGCTGCTGGGGGATTCAAACTCCCAACCTTCTGGTTAGTAGCTGAGAGCTTTAACTCTTGTAGCACCAGTGCATGTTTTAAAAAAAATGACATGTATCAAAAGTCTTTTCCAATAGAGAGAATTATAAAAATTCACAATTTTTTACCAAGGTTCCTATGCACTTAATTGCCTACCTTGTTCCCAATGTTGAAATTATGGTTTAATCTGGTGAAATTATAATTGAATTGTTGGATTGTAGCAAGAGAAATGATCAGCGAAAAAGAAAAACTGTACAATGAAGATAAGATTTCTGTTTGATTGTGATAAAAGTTGTATGCGCCCCTAATAAAATGATTAAAAAAAGAAAAGATTTGTTTGAGAAACTGAGAAGCAAGTAAAACATCAATTCTATTGTATTAGATGTTCTTGTAAGTAATTAGCATTTTGTTCTCTAATCCTCTATAAGTTACAATTAAACTCTTTCTTTTATTGTATTTCTCTCTGAATGCTCATACGTGTGTGAAATTAAATGAGTTTTTCTGTTTGTATCTGCTTATATTTCCCACTAGACCGTGGGTTCCTTGTAAGTCCAAAGTATGCTTTCTCCTTCTCCATGCCCCAAAGCACCAAAGATAAAGACCGAGACACAGTAGGTCCACCACACTTGTTCACTCAGGGGTTCAATCAATGTTTGTGTGCAATTTCCTGCTGAGATGCACTAGCTCAGAAAATCTAGGGGTTTCCTTAGCTAACGGAGATGAGTGGAAATCAACACCTTCCCAGTGAAGAGTTGCTGAAAAACAAATGACTAATTTTTTTTTAAGTTTTGATACATTTTCTTTCATGGAATGACAATGTGTATTCTTTCATTGCAAAACTCAATTCTATTTCAGTCCCCAATACTCCATCTGAATTGAAGGTCTGAAGAATGGGAAAACCCCAGGGGACAATTGCATGAGCAAAATATTTAAGCGACATTAGATCTTCTCTAGAAAAATACTACAAAAGATATTCCAGAAAAATAGCCCTGCATGAGATCTTGGAATTTAAAAGCATGCCCTGATTGGAAATGAAAACCTTACTGTTTGATTTTCTCCTGGGTATCATGTAAGCCATCATAGTCGTAGTCAAAAATGGGCCCGCTGATCACGTTCACGCCGTTCCTTTCCGAAGCATATTTCTTCACCAATACCCGTTGGAAGTAATTCCAGACTCCTATGTAAAGACAAAGTCAATGCTTCGTGAACAAAACTCCTAGCTTTAGCCAAATCCTCTCTACATAGTCTGCAAGCCAAATGACACAAGCCAAGAGAGAGTAGAGAGGCTTGACTTCATGAGGAAGTCCATTCTAAAATATTATCTATTTGTGTATGTCATTTATCAGCCAGCAAATAAGAAGCCAAAAGCTGTAAGATAATGGCAGGGGAGCTCAACCTAGTCTGGAAAGTCAAGGAAATCTTTCTGAATCAAGTGGCTACAGAATGAGACCGGAAAGATGATTCAGTGAGCATTCCCAGGAAAAAGGATGGAGACAGAAGATTCCAGGTATAGAACTTCTGAGAAATTGAAAAGGGCCTTAATCAGTCTCTACATTATCTTATAATATGCAAGTTCCCAAATTTATGTCTCTTGCCCTGGCCTTTCGACACAGCTCCAGAATGTTATTCAAGCACTCTGTCTACTATCTACCTGAATAGGAGTCAAGCGAAAATATAGAGAGCATTCTGACTGTCCTTCCCAACCCTGCTCCAACCCTTAACGAGCATTAATGGTATTGGTGTTCAACCAAATGGTCAGGCCAAAAGTTAGGGGACATTCCTGCCTCCTTTCCTCACTCTGTGCTCATGGAGACGAGTCTTATCATTACTACCTCCAAAGGGTATCGCAATCATTCCAAATCTGATTGTGCCTCACCATTTTCACTACTTCCTTCTGCTTCAAGTTACCATCCGCCCTTCACTCACCTACTTTTTTAAAAAGGCTACTTCTTGTAAGAAACTCTTACTTCCCTACTGCCCATTCTCCATTTAGTAGCCAGATAGGAACATTTCCACCACACAAATCAGATCTTACATACACATGTATGTATGCACATGCGCTGCGCGAGTGTGCGCACACACGCGCATACACACACACACACACACACACACACACACTTCTCACAGTTCAAGTACTTTCTCATTGTAATGGGAACGAAACCCGAACTTCGCCCTCTTGGACCTGACCACCTTTATGACTCTACTTCCCGTACCCCGCATTCACAATGATGCAGCTCCAGGACTTTCTGCAAGCACCTGAAACTTGCAACCGTATTCTGGTTTATACGCTCGCGTGTTCTTTTCCCCTGGAAAACGCATCTCCTGGTCTGTGCATGTCTGGTTTCTCCCCACTACCCTCTCCAGGATCAGTTTCTCAGTTTAAATGCAACCCTTAAGAGAAGACTCCCTTGACCAGCTGTCCACTCTAGCCCCAATGGAGACCCCAGGCCATCAGGAGAGACCAGAGGAGCAGAACGCGAGAACGACGGAGAAGAAAAGCAGGTGCAGAAAATAACAGAAAGAGTCAGGAAAGGTAACAAGTTGGGTGTGCCTTTTGGATGCAATTCATCACGCTCTGTTCTAGCAGGCAGCTAACACCTCTTCCATCTCCTCGAGAAAACCCATTTTCTCGTAGCACTGCAGCCCTCTTTACACTTTCAGCTGTTCGACGCTGAGTGAGAACGGCACAGTAGCTCACCAGAGCCAGAAATACCTGGGATAACTATTTGCAGTAAAAAAAAAGAAAGAAGACAGAAGTTCAAATGTTAACTTTAAAAGAGAGAGAGAGAGAGAGAGGCAGCGAAAGCAAAGAAACAACAATGGGAACAGTCAAAAGGTCAAACCCGCAGAAATGTGGCAAGGAAAAGCCATTCCCCTAGGGAAAAAGAACAGCCAGCCCTCTGTGAACTGCCACTTGCCTCGCCCCCGCCCCCCACCCCCACCCCGGGTGATACCATGTGTCCCTTTTAGTACTGCCTGGTCAGATGCACAGCAGCCGAGAAAAAAGGAACCAACCGAGCCCTCGCTCATCGAAATGGGATGCTGCAGCATCTCCTGTGACACTGTGAACTGTGCCACCCGCTGGTCTCAACCGTTTCTCGTTCGGGTCTGTGACCCCTTCAGGACACCTCCCTTTAAAAGTATATCATTTCCTGTCTTACTCATAAGCAGTGAATTCTTGCTTTGAATAGAGCTTCATTTATTAACTAAGACATCAAATAAACTTTGTGGGCCGTTTCACCAGCGTCAAGCAAAGGAGGTCTGCCAATACAGGCGACACTCTGCAATCACCCGTCCCTATTTTAAGGGTTGATTTCCGTCCCAAGAGTCCTGTAACACGGCTCTGTTCACCTTTGCTCAGGGTTGTTAGGTTGGGAATCTTTCTTTCCCTACCTTTCTCATAAGCCTGTGGGTCTGCTCACTGCTCATGAACGAAAAAGAGGTGAATTGGTCTTTAATGCTTTCTTACTCTTTGAATGAAAGCACAAAAAGAGGGATGGATGGATGGATGGTTGCTCTGTGATCAGATCAAGATTCCTTTGGCTATTGGAAAATGAAATCATGAATCCTTATAAGCCTTAGAACGCCAAATCACGGCCGTTAAGTTGGTTCTTACTCATAGCAACCCTATAGGACAGAGTAGAAGAGCCCCACTGGGGGAGTTTTTAGGCTACAAATCTTTATAGAAGCCAACTGCCTCATCTTTCTCCTCTATAGAAGTTGGTGCCTAAGAAGTCCAAGGCTTACCCAAGGCTCCTTATTATAGGCTTTCAAGTACTGAACCAAATCCAGCACCGAGTCGATGCCAAATCACAGTGACCCTACAGGATAGGGTAGAACTGCCCTGTGAGTTGTCGAGATGGTCACTCTTTACCGGTGTAGGAAGCCCGTCTTTCTCCCTTAGAGGTCTTAGAGGTCATGAGGTCATGCCTCTTAATTTGAGAAATGGAAGGTTGACTGGCATTTCTATGATCCCACAGCTAATGGTCATCATCCAGTGCTCCTTGTGTCAGATTAGGAGAACAGATTTAGCCCAGCCTCTGCCTTTCATGACATGGGTCACTTCTTGGGACTTCAGTTTATCCGTTATAAAGAAAGGAGAAAGTGCCTGTGTTGCCTCTCACACAAACTCGTATTTTGGATCAACAGTAGAGAACTCAGATGAACGGTCCTCAACAGGGGCAAAAACTAAACACATGAAAGATATTATGATGATTGAAATTAATAGAGAGGGAGAAAAGGGGACCTTGTAGAAATGTTTATTTTCCTCGGTCACGGCTCATTAGGTAAACACTGGACTTACGTTTGAAAGCAGGATACATTGGAACCATGTTGGTTACAAGGAAAGCATCATATTTAGCTTCTGGCGAAGAACTCAGATCTAAACATTTGGAAAGCAAATAGGTCCCGTCACTTACCAAAATCTACATCAATATGCCAGCATTTGTCTACAGCGATCCAAAGAGATCATTTACATGGCGTTTTCTACTCTCCCTAGCAACTGGATTTCTTCCATCATTCAGTAGCACCCCCTCAATTTTTTTTCAACATTTTTTCCCTTCCTTCTTAGTTCTTGGGCCTCCTGTATATGACGTAAAAGAATCTCTTGAAAGTAAATGTTTAGAAAATATTACAAATATGCTTGATATAACTGATGTATGGATTGTTATAAGAGCTCTAAGAGCCCCCAGTAAAATGATCTTTAACAACAACAAAATCTCGTGATTCCACAAGAGAAACTTAGACTTTTTAAAGTCATTTAGGTAATGAAAAATGATTAAAGAGCTTCACCTGTTTCTGAGGGAGCATTTCCCCAATACTGTTTTAAAGGACTAATTACATATAATAATTTACTATTTCATTTGCAAATTCTGAATGATGGGTGAGAACATGGAAATACCCTTCACACTTTGGAATATCGTTGGAGACAAAGGTTTGTGAAAGCTGGTCAATTCGGGCCAACTTGGGAAGTCTCACTCTACAATCTCATGAGAGGTCTCATCTTGAAAAAATATCTGAGCCACTGAAATCCCATGATTAACACTCACACCAAAACTCCAGAACAGTTCGCACGGAGTTGGCTCTGACTCGTGGTCACCCGTGTCTCAGAGTAGAACTGCTCCACCGGGCTTGTTGGAATGTCTTTTCTTTTGTTGTTTGGCTTGTCTGTCATCTTTTCTGGGGCTCTCTGGGTGGTACAATGGTTAAACATTTAACTCTTAATCTGAGAGTCAATGTTTCACATCCATGGAAGACAGCCTTGGTAAACTGCTTCCCAAGGAGAACAGCCTGAAAACTCCCTGGCGCAGCGCCCCCTGCAGGTATGGGGTCATCCAAGGGGGGACTTGAGTAGATGAGGGAGACCAGTAAGCATCTTTGGGGGGAAGCAATTCCCCAGTCTTTCTTCTGTGGAGTCCCTGGATCGGTTTGAAGCACCAGCCTTTAGGTTAGCATCCCTGGTAAACCGCACATGCCACGTAAGCTCTGCAAAACAATCATCCTCTCGAGTGGCCGGATCCTAATTCTCTCTTACTTACAAGAGTATTGTATGACTTACAATACTCTATTACTCCGGATCCTAATCCTCTCTTACTTACAAGAGTATTGTATGACTTACAATACTCTATTACTCCAGGTCCTAATCCTCTCTTACTTACAAGAGTGTTGTATGACTTACAATACTCTATTACTCCAGATCCTAATCCTCTCTTACTTACAAGAGTATTGTATGACTTACAATACTCTATTACTCCAGATCCTAATCTTCTATTACTTACAAGGAGGGAAGAGGAATCCGTAGGACATCTGCTTATCATTTTTGTAGGCCAAGCAGCTCTGACTGAAACTCGGAGATACACGGACATCAGGCCGGACACAGTTGGTCAGATGCTCTGGGATGATGGAGACCTCGGCCTGCAAGGGGAGGCAGAGTCCCTCGGTCATTGTCATTCAAAGACAACACCAAACCAACATGGGGATAACGTTGTCACATCACTGTCCTAGGAACGTCAACATTAAAACCCCTCTCATGTTTGCCATGGCTTAGATTCCAGCTCCGCTAAAGTTTTTTTTAAATAGAGGAAGATCGTAATTTTCAAATGCTTATTTTTTAACAGAAGACCATTTTTTGAAGTCTTCAGTAAAGCAACCATGTAAAAAGAAAACTATAAACCAGACAGCCAAGTACCGACATCCTGCAAAGGGTTCCATGGAACCCAGTTTGAGAAACAGCACTCTAAGGAAGTTGAGTGACACCCACTCGCTCCTGGAAGAGAAAGACCACAGGTGGGTGCTGTGGGTGCGCCAGCAGGCGTGCCTCTGCACACAATATACATTGCCAAGAAACGGTGTGTCCTGAGGGAGTCTTCCTTTCATTTGTATTGAGAAATTACAAAGATACCTTCACCGACCTTTTTTCTCTCATTTCTGACATAAGCCTACCAAGTCATCGTCACCAAAATGGAAAACCTAGCACAAACCCTTTATCAAGCAAACAAATCTTCAGGACATCCTTATCGATAGGGCAGTGACTTTTAAGCAGTCAAAGAAACTACAAGAATGAGTAAGTTAACATTTTGGTTCAATGGTTCACTTCATATAACTTCGGTAGTTAACATGCTACCATAGTGTTGTTAGAACATTGAGTACTGACTATAGCAACGTGTTGTTCAATAGATCCACCATCAGCTTCTCTTTGTCAGGGAAAATGAACCTCTTTTCCAAGACAGAATTATACCGGACAAGGAGTCATTGCATGGCTGCGGGGAAGGTAATGAAATGGGGACTAGAATCCCAGCGTTCCCAATGACCTGTTTGGAAACAGTATATGATGTCCAGAGTGGCATCATGAATATCTCACTATAACCGCTTTCGAAGTCGGAGTGACACAAGATGTCATATCGAGTCCGATACAGCACTGCAGGGCGTCCATACAGGAGATGTCTCTCTAGGAAAGAAAAGATGAACTGTATTAAAAGCATATTCAACTCCAGAGCAGATGCTAAGGCCATATTAGGAGAGGGGCAAGTTGTCCAAAATGGGCTTGCTTACTTATTAATAATGCAGTGCCTTCTCTTTAATTCAATTGAGTTAGTTTTCCTAAACCCTTCGTTGGTTTATCTGATCACCTAAGCATGGGTCAAGGCTCGGAGCCATCAACTCTAGAACATAAATGCTGTCTGGTCATTTTGGGATGGTAGCTTTAAAAAACAAATTTTTTTTTGGTTGTAGAGAATTTAGTCTCCATAGGAAAGAAACATTGCCTAGCAAATTTTGAAATGATTTGGCTGAATGGAAAGCCAATAGGACTGAATGGTTGCGGGATTCATTCATTTGACCCCTGAAGAGGCTTATCAAATTAACCAATGATTTAATTAAGAGGAAGGCTCTCTTTGGTCATTATTGCAACTTACATATGCATTATTTGAGCACAAAAAGCTGAGTGACAATGAGCATGTAAATTCGGTAGCTTTGCCACTTGAAGGAAAACTCCTTAGGTAAGAGTTTAAAGGAACATGTATAGATAAAATAAGTGGGCATGCAAGGGGGTCCTTTTGATACACGAGAGGAAAAGCCATCTGTTACCAACGAGCTCTATCAAGACCCCAGGATGCAGATTCGAATTCAAAAAGCCTCAAAGACTCTCCTCTTACGAAGCACGTGTCTGGGCAGGAGGACTTAGGTGGACGCCTTCCCTCCATACCCCAAAGCCAGGCCTGGGATACATGAAAGTCAGAACTGCCCTGGGTCCTTAACAGCGGGAGCCCTAAAGCCCACAGTATTTAGAGACTGGGGTTTAGACAATTCCCAAGGGGATAACCAAAATGTTTGGTTTTGCTACTGTTATTTCTATGGGATAAAGTCAGCTCTGCCAATCACTTATTATGTACACATGTTGCTTTAATTAAAGTGCTATAATTCTCTGCATGTAACAGAGAGAAATTCTTTGCAAAACACTTTGGATGACCCTCCCAAGTAGAACTGATGATTTGAGGCAAAGCAACCCACGCTGTTATAGCGCAATCCTATTCTGGTATTTCGGCTTCGTTCACGTTGCCAGCCTTGGTTTAACTGTCAAATTTGGGGACCCACCTCTGAGACTTCGAATAGAATGTGATTACATGACATAGATGAGATAGCTGAACCTATAGACGCCAGCAAATCATAGCAGTAGTACTTGGGGGTAGCAAACCAACCCAGACTTTCCTTCAAATCTCAGACCAAACCTTTTCTAGGCTCAAAATTTCCATGAACGTTTTCCTTGTGTTCATTTTTGCTGCCTCTGAATTTCCTGGTTTCGGCTGGAAGCAAAAGTACCAAAATTCTTTGAGAAACTATTATTTTTATAGCATAGATGCTTACCAAGCACAGTCCTCCAAACTGAAATGCAAACCTGCATCCAATCGATCCCCAAATAGCAGCCATAATTTTCCATGCAGCACCCCTCCTTAAAGGAGCCGGAAGACAGTAGTCCTGGATCACCTACGTGTTCCACCAATGCTGAATCCTCCTTTCGCCTTTCTCGTCCCTCAGTATTTCCTGGCAGGAGTCCATTCCCTAAAGGCTGGGTGCGCGTGCGTGGGGCTGCAATACTCTGCTCAAAATGTTGTCGGCAACTCTACATCATTACATATGCTATTCCCGCTCCAGCAATTCTACACCTTTCAATCTCTTTCTCTCTCTCTTTCCAAATGTGTTTACTCATCAAATATTGAATGAATACCCTCTTTGTGCCAGGCGCTGGGCTACAGAAAGGAAACATTGTTCAAATGTGATTAAGTTAGAGCTCTTGTCCTTAAAGAGGCAACTATCCAGTAAACAGGCAAGGCACAAATTACGAAAATACCACATGCATATACAATATCGGGATAGTTACAAAATACTATGGAACACAGAGGATGACAAATGTGCTGATAGAGGTGAGGTGGCATCAGGGCAGTCTTTACAGAACAGAAGAAATATAACTAGGGTAACCCTACACCCTGGCATATGCCTATATTGTCCTGGTATAATTGTTAACAGTGCACAGTTCAGCTCACCTGGAAAATACATTGGGAACTGAAGGAAAGTAGAGAAAGAGGCACTTTAAGATCCAGTTTCTCCTGAAAGAGTTCCCTGATAATTTTTTCCCATCTGTTTATTTCTACACACACACACACACACACACACACACACGCTCCATTCTCCTAAGAAATTTGGGCTTTATATTTCCCAAACTCGAAACTTTGGTACACAGCTAGAGCACAAATATGCCATTATCTAATGGTTTTTCAAATGTTGTTGGGCATAACTGGTAAAAACATCATAAAATAGAGAGATGGGAAATATGGTTTTTGAAAGCCTCCTACAATCCACCCACAGTGCCTTCATGACTGAAAAGATCTGAGATCTTCCTGCAGCAAAATAGTTGAGAAAGAAAGAGGTGAAAAGATCTTTGCAGTGAGGAAGGGTAACTTTTCCTGAAAAAGGTTTACACTGGATGATTACAGTTTGTCATATGATCAGAGATATAGGTGCCCAGATAAAATCTCATTCTGCTCTCTGGGACATCTTTCAGCAAGCCACCCATCTGCATTGGTGCTTAGCAAAAAGTTGAAACTGAGGCAACACTAGTGGATGTGAATCTCAGACTTGGTGAGCGATTTGTCTCAAGACCACCAACCCTGAAGACCAGCCAGGGAGCCTCTGCTTGTGAAACACGTTCCTCATGATTTCTCGATGAGGGTCCGGTATCTCATGGGCTTCCTGATCTGTGGAATTCCATGCAGAGCCTTCGTTTCACAGCCCAATAGCGTCTCTGGCCTATGGGGGCACCCCAATGTTCCCACCCAGATACCACATCTTGCAAAACACTGGACAAATCTTTTTAAGTGGTGTGGACTTCCCCAATCTTCATTCTTTTTTAAAGCCTTCCAAAATGTAGTCATCTGGACTTCAGTGTGCATTTCTTTTCCTTCCTCAGCTTCCTGATTCACATTCCCATGGATTAGCTGGCTGACTAAACAGCCACATGAAAATCTCTCCATGTTTTCCTAATTTTTTTCATAATGCTCAGTCCCACAACAATGCTCTCAAATTTTACCACAAAATCTCTACCCAAGTTCTTTCTTTTCCTGCATCTTTCCCTACCACGACCCGAGTTTGCCTTGCAAATGCCTGTAATTTATTGTCATTACAATCACCACCACCCCCTACACATGATCAGATTAGGCATCTCTCCATAGACTTTGATTTTTCTTACCTCAATTCTTAAAGACTGTGTTGTAATTCCCTAAATTATTAAACCTACAGTAGAATGATAACTTCATGGGGATAGAATGAAGATCTGTCCTGTTCACCATTTTGTCCTTCACTGTCTATAATAGTGCCTCATATATAATAATTTTTCTGTAAATATCATCAAATATGTGAATGATTGACTTATTTTAAAAACAGACAATTCCTAAAAATGGAACAGAACTCAAAACCATTAAAAAGACCAGTCTTCCAAGTTGGGTAGAGACTCGCAGAACCCACAAGACAACAGGCTCTGGGTCACCCTTCAGGTCCGGAACTGGATTAACCCTGTGTTAGAATAATCAACAATTTGAGCCCTAACGGGGAGCATTTACCCAAGGACAACGTTCAACGGGTTGGGAAAGAGGTTAGAATGGAAACAACACCCTGGGAGGAAATGGGATAAGAAATGGTACCTCGAGGGGATTGCAGTGAATGAGTTGACGCAAAATGTGTATGAATTGTAGGGGGTAAAACTGATCTGCTCTGTAGACTGTCACTGAAGGCAAAATTAAAAGTTTTTAAAAATTAGGTGAAAAATACAATTCCTTACAACGCTCAAGAACTGACATTCTTTGCATCTGATCTAACATAGCCCTGAGAGGTAGACCGGGAGATAGCAACATCATCTTCAGTTTCCTGGCGGAGGAGCTGCAGTCTCAGGATTTGTATAAGATTGTTCAGCTATGTAGCAGCTGAATGCTATACACCAGCTCTCTACCGGAATCTAGGTCTCTACCACCACCCTCCCCGGCCCATTATTGCTCTCCTGAGGCTTGCGGACAGTCTCCAGGTAGATGTGGACTTTCAGGTGATACTGATGGGAAGCATCTTGGAATGAAGATTCAACTCTTCCTGGACTTGGGCTCTGTCCAAGTAATGCCTACTGAGAGGCTAACGAGACAGTGGTTTGCATCAAGGCAGCTAGTATTTCAGAAACAATTTTCAAACCTTGACATGCACAAAGATTCACTCCTGGTACGTTTTCTTTGTTCCAACCCTTAGAAGAAGAAGCATTTTAAGAGGAAATCATGTGGGCTTTAGAGTCACGCAGGGCTGGAGTTAAGACTCACCTCATTTCTTCATAGCTTTATAACTCAGCAACTTAACCACCCCAAGCCTCATGTTACACTAGAACATTTGAATGTTTAGAGACAAAATACGTACAGCCGCTAGATCAGGCTTGACCTATAGTAGGTCAGAAGGAAATGGTATTTGCTCTGCTGTAATAACTGCAAAGAATATGTGTAGGCAAAGATTACTAAAATTCTATTTCTTTGTCTATCAAATTCAACCTGAGTTCTACCATAAATTACCTAAAATCGCACTATGTATTTATTTCTTCCAAGTCATCCCCAAACATACGTACACAAGTACACAGGCGCATCTCCTGTCCTTAGCACAATTAGCAACTCCAGTGAACATAACAAAAAACATTTCAGAGTTGAAAATTGGTAGGGATTCTGTCTCTACCCACATACATTAACATGAACAGGAACTCATGGTGCCGACATCACCTTTCTGTCCAAACATCCTTCTCATTGCGTATGACCAAGGTCCAAACATATATGGATATTAAGATAACTTCTTTTCCACAAAGATAGTAGTGAGTGCAAACCTAAGACAATCTAGTCTTTTTATGATCGTGTAAGTAGAGAAAAAAACTACAGTGAAGATAAATGATGCAAATCTCACCATGAAAATCGTATCTGATGAATGGAGCTGTAGTGGCACAGGGCTTATGCGTTGGGCTGCAGTGCAAAAGGTCAGCAGTTCCAAACCACCAATATAGGGAAAAGATGGGGCTTTCTACTCCTGTAGACAGTTACAATCTGGAAAATTCACGGGGCAATTCCACAATGTCCTGGAGGGTCACTCTGAGGCAGCATTGACCCGCAGGCAGCCCGTGTAGGCGGGGTTTGGGATCATGCTAGACGAAGGCCTGGGGAGGTCGTGGGTTGCAAGTTGGGCTGTTTACCACAGGCCAGCAGTCCGAATGTGCCAGCCGGTCCCAGGAGCACAGTGAGCAGTTCTACTCCGTCCTGTACGAGTTGGAATCAACTTGATGGCAATGGAGTTAGTTCTAATTTTTTGGTGGGGGCAGGGGGCATCGTGCTAGAATTAGCACGTTAGGAGAATTCGTTGTTAGTAGAAATTTTAAATCGATCATTTTGTTCTTCCTCCAGTGAATCAGTGTCATAGGAATGAGTGTTTATTGAACAGCGGGTTTGCCAAGACATCGGGTACACGTGGTCCAGAAACAGCAGTCATGCAATTAACGCCTTGTTTAACCAAATGCCTGACTATGTTAAGACTCCAGTAAGTAGTTTCCGTCGCTATTTTTGAAGATTACATTTTCCACTTTCTTATTGTACAGAGGGACTTGATTCTATAAGTTTAAATGCGTACAGCAAAGTATTGCCCCCAAGCAATTTAATATTCCTCTCTCTTGTGGCCTCAACTATGCCTTTGCTTATTTCTCCACATGGGCTGTGCAGCTTCTACCCATCTATTTCGTGCAGATGTGTGAGTCGTTTTACAGCACATGACATTGAAACTTATGTTCCAAGGGGGATGTGGAGAGCACATGGCTATTCTGAGAAGAAAAAAAATCAGCTACCTACATCTGTGTTTAGAAAACGCAGCGGTAATAAAAATAACAGTATTCCATTTGGACCGAACCTCAGGTTCAAAGTGCTTTAAAAACCTCAATGCCTATTCGAAGGTACCCAGAAAGAGGAAGTAATGACTAAATATAACACACATGTGCACACACCCCCCCACACACACGGTGACGCACTCACGAGGTCTCACTCCAGTGGAGCAGATATTGATTACTTTAAGTGGGTGGCTGCATTTATGAATTAGAAAACGTCATAAAGGCTTGCAAGAGCTTTGATCAAGAAAATTAAATCTTGCAGCTAAAGAAGTAACTGAGGGAGCTCTTAAGGCAGCGGTTCCCAACCTGTGGTTCGTGACCCCTTTGTGGGTCGAACGACTCTTTCACAGGGGTCACCTGATTCATAATAGTAGCAAAATTACAGCGATGAAGTAGCAACGAAAATAATTTTATGGTTGAGAGGGGGGTCACCACCACATGAGGAACTGTATGAAAGGGTCCCGGCATTAGGAAGGTTGAGAACCACTGTCTTAAGGAGACAAAGGCCAAGCCACCAAAAGACCAAGGCAGAGAGAAAGAATGTGGAGGTTTCTATGTGGTCCCAAATCTCAACGAGGAAATGATCTACAAATAGTAAAGCACGATTATATCATTGTTTGTTCTTCATTTCACAGAAATGGTTTTAAGTCTCTTAGAAGGTATTCCACTCAGCCATGAGCAGATTCAGGAAGGGTCCTCTCGTGGGTTTCATGTCACCCTTTTGAAGTCCCATGTTGGAAACGTCAGTGACGCAGCTCAGATCCAAATATCTCAGAGAAGTGGGGACCCATCGCAGCCCAGGTGCTCAGCAAATGTGGACTGACTTCATTCAGAGCGCTCTGTCTCCTCGACAGGACCTAAACTTTAAGTTTCGGGGATAGACAATCATCTTCAAATGGTGTTGCTAGAGGCTGGCAAGTAGGTTCCAACATGCACGACCCTCCTCGGTATAAAAAAATGAAGCAAGCCAGTGCCGTCCTCTCCACCATTCCTAAGCCTGAGACCCCTGCATCAGTCCATCTCGTTGAGGGGGCTTCCTCGTCTGAGCTGCCCTTCTTTTTTACCAAGCACGGGGTCCTTTTCCAGAATTTATCTTGAAATGGACAACAAGATGCAACTCTGAGCTGACTGACGCAGGGCTGAAGTCACTGATTAGAAGGGCCTCTCAACCCAAGCAGAAGTGTGAGCAGACATTTTATGCCGAGTCCTTGGACTGGTTTTGTCCCACGAGTCCATTGCCACTACCAAATTAAATGCAGTCGTTTACTTCCTCCTAAATGGAAACGTTTTCCTACCACAAATCACCAAAGCTTAAACAGCGAAAGCAGGGGAGTCCCTAAAATGCTGTGACAATCACTGGTTTTGTTGGTGACGTTTGGAAGCGAAGCATCGGTATCATTTCTCTGTCTTGGTGAGTGAGTGTTCGAAAAGTTCAAATCATGGGACTCCTCAACCCCAGGGATCAGCAACATTCCAATGTTTCTAATTATAGTGACACTATACACCTAGAGATGAGGGGGTCACACAGTTTTAAACCTCTTATGGGGAATGAGAAGGATTTGTGTGTCCTTCCACCAACGGAGTCCTATCTTCAAAGCTGTGCTCATCCAATTATCTGCCAAAGAGTCTGTGTGTTCTATGATCAAAGAGGGCAAGAGAGGGGGGTGGCGATGCAGAAAGGGGAAGGAGGAGGCAAATGGATGATCTTTATAAAGAGGGGAAGTAAGTCAAGTAAAGAAAATCTTAAACCCGTTTCCCCAGTGGACTTAATCTGATTGGAAACAACGCACATGATAAACAGAACCTTATGTAAGCTAATAACCCAAGTGATGCTCTCGGGAGAATTTGACTGTGTGTTTCCTGAAAACCTGGTGATGGCCCCTATGTTTAAGTGCTATGCACCTTTAAATACACTCTCAGTTACTCGTGGGGACGGCTTGGTGGCAACTAATGACAACAGTCATTCTCTTTTTATTATCACCTGCTATCCCATCTACTGTAATAACTTGTAGAGAGCTTTCCCTCCTCTTTTATTTCCTGCTAACTTTCTAGAATTTCAAAATCAGATGCAAGAGCTTGAGCGGGACACTATATTATTATTCTCATTTGCTCACTGATGTCCAACAGAGGATTATATACCAACACCCACTCCAGGTGGCGTTTAGGGCAGTGTCCCTCTGGGTGGAATCAACTTCCCCAAGCCATTGGCATCCTGTACTTGCCTTTGACCGGTGAATTGTGAAGAGAAGTGACATATGCCTCACAAAAATAGAAGCATCAAGGCCCATTGTGCTGTCTGTCCTTTCTATTTCCCTCTTCCATGGGAAGGGCATGTCCCTGACGCCTTCACTGTAAATTCCACAATAAAGAGTATATACAAGGCAGAGCCACATGTCACCCATAGGCAGTATCCTGAAATATGGGCAAGCGACACATCATTCTTGATATAAACCAATGAAATTTGGGGCATTTTTTGGACCTAGAAATGATTGTAAAGGTTGATTATCAGAAAAGAAGAGACTGAGTTAGGGCACAAGGCGTTTCTCATGTCAAGAGGGAGTTCTTGGTTCCTTCTATTGTCCTCTGAATCTCTCTCCACCATATTCCAGGCAAGTGAGCATCACCGGCTGTTATTATTTAGGGTTGTAACTGTGAGCTCACTTCATATGAGTTCCCAACACCACCTTAGTTTGTGCTTACCCTCACTGACGGAGTGAACATCTGTTTTGCAGGGACCTTAAAACCGACGGAGGGAAAAGAGCTCATGGAAACTTTCTGATTACCCAGCTGGCAGCTGGCATCTTGTGTACATAGAATAAAACCAGCACCCTTTGCCAGATGGATATAAAGATCACTTTGCAATCCAAATTGTAACTTTTTAAAAATACTGTGATTACACTATAAAGTAAACAAGAACTCTCTTCAGTGTTTTGAAAACAAGAACAAAAAACATATTTGACTGATTTTTCCATCAACCCCTTACCTTCTGTAGACCCTTTTATATTAAGGCGTTTGTTGAGTTCATCCAATTTGCTCTTCGTGTGTGAAAACCAGAAAATGAAAAAAAAAAGAAAAAAGAAAGCAAATCAGACATTTTCTTTCTTCCCTGCATTCCCCTTTCGGCTTAGTACTCTGCTAAACTTAAAAGGAGATTCTAATCTCCATCAACTATCATAAATCCTCTTCTGTCTCTAACTCATTCTAAGTTCCACTTTCAAGTAACTTTTGGCCTTACACGTACTCTATTAATCTCTCCATGACTGCGTATCTGTTCTTATAATTGTATGCTGACCTCATAGGTTGATAATGGTGATTATTTCAGATCATCTATGTACATTAATTAGAATTGGACCCCTCTATTTCAGACGGGTCCCAAGATACAGTAAAATGGTTCTTAAAATAATTTATGACATCACTTTTTCCAAAGTTGAAAAGCAGTGTACCAGCCATTCTGGAAAGTAATGCCCCATCACCTTTACCCCTCACTATATATCTTAGAAACACCCTAGCTTATGTGGACAAGAAGGCACTGGCAGTAATGTCCATTGCAGCACTCTTTGGAAGAGTCGCATTTAGAAATGGCCAGATGTCCACAAATAGGGAAATGAACAAAATTAACATGATAGAGTTACATAATTATGTACTAAATATTAGCAGTAAAATGAATGAGCCAAAGCATCATGCATTAACATGCAAAAACATCAAAAACACACTGATGACTAAAACAATTTCAAAAATGCTCATCATTCAAGATAGATATAATAGCCTGCATACAGAATACACGATGTGTAAAATATTGAAAGGAATAGCTTATAATATATAAAGGAACCATGTAAGGAAATTATTAAAGGGAAACATAAATATGGTTATAGCATGTGTGAGAATTACAGGAGCCCTAGTAGCGTAGTGGTTACAGTATCAGGCTACTAACCACAAGGCCAGTGGTTTGAAACCACCAGCAGCTTTGAGGGAGAAAGAGAAGGTTTTCTACTCCCATCATGAGTTATAATTTTGAAACTCCAAAGGGGCAGTTCTAGACCCTGGTCAGAAACTGCTCCGTGGCATTGAGTTATTCAGAATAGCAGTATTAAATCTGGGGTAGGAAGGGGGACGTAACAAGTGGTATCAAAGAAGTTCTGACTGAATACTTTCTTTTCTTTGATATGTATACGAAGTTTTTCATTGTATTCATCTCTCCATTTGTGTTGTCGTTAAAGCATAGGATGTTTGTCATTGGAAAGAACCATCAGCAAAATAACAAAACCCCAGAAAGCTCTGAAATGATGCAGGACACAAGATCCCAAAGATTTCTTGTTCTCCAAAGAAAAGTAATTCAGAAAAAAATATACAATTAAGAGAGTCCTACAAAATTATATTTTGGAATCCTTTTCAGACTACTTCTTCCCGGTGATGCTGGCAACTCGCCTCCAGGCGAGGTCTGCAAATGACCTGCCCTCTGCTAACTAGCTTCCTGTCTTCTTCTTGTGTTGCTTTTTCATTTTATTTATTTATTTTTTTTTTTGCTTTTTCATTTTATTAGGGACTCTTACAACTCTTGTCACAATCCATACATTGCTTGCATCAGGTGAATTTGTACATATGTTGCCTTCATTCTTTTCTAGACATTTACTTTCTAATGAGACCTCGGTATCAGCTCCTCTCCCCTCCTCCCCCTCATAACCCCTTGATAGGTTCTACATTGTTATTATTTTCATATCTCACACCGACCGCTGTCTCCCTTCCCCCATGTTTTGTTGTTCTTCCCCCTGGAAAGGGTGTATGGTTATGTGTCGACCATTGGATTTCCCCTTTCTCCCTTCCTCTCCCCCTCTTCCCCGTACCCTTCTGGTATCACTAGTCCCACTCTCTCCAGTGCTGAAGAGGCTAATCTCGATGGACTGCATTAAAGAGCAAGCTTGCCTCTGGCTTCTTTTGGGGTTTCATGGATGGTAAGAGCCAGCTAGAAAGTGGGGTAGAAAGATGGGGGTGTTTACTCTACGGCTCCCACCCTGCTAACTTGCAGAGTATGAGCAGCAATAACAATGCATCTGTTTGTCCTACTGTGGTGGACTGTGTGTTGCTGTGATGTTAAAAGCTAAGCCACTAGTACTTCAGATACCGACCATGGTGCACAGGGTTTAGTAGAGTTTTCAGACTAAGACAAACTAGGAAGAAGAACTTGGGGTTATTAAATATATATATATATGTTGGACAAGGAAAAGCTTATAAATAGCAAAGGAACATTGTCTGACACAGGGCCAGAAGATGAGCAGCTCAAGTTGGAAGGTACTCAAGATATGACCATGGAGTTGCTGCCTCATCAAAGTAGAGTTGACCTTCACGATGTAGATGGAGTCAAGCATTGGGACTTCCATTTGCTGAAGCGGCATGACTTCAAATGAGAAGAAACAGCTGCAAACGTCCATTGGTAATCAGAGCATGGGATGTACAAAGCATGATTCTAGGAAAATTGGAGGTTCTAAAAAGGAACCTGGAAGATTGATATCCTATGTATTAATTAGCTGAAAAGAGAGTGGCACTGGTCATTTTTAATTAGTTAATCGTATGACCTCCTACGCAGGAAATGACATATTGAAGAGGAATGGCATTGCATTTGTGGCCAAAAAGAAAATTTCAAGATTGATTTTGAAGTATAACAGTGGTAAAATTATATCCTTAGACCTACAAGAAAGACCAGTTGATACAGCTATTATCTAAATTTATGTATCAACCACTAATGCTGAAGGTAAAACTAAAGATTTTTACAATATGTACTGCCTGATATGGATCAAACATGCAATAAAGATGCATTGATAATTACTGGTGGCTGGAATGTGAAAGTAGGAAACAGAGAAGATCAATCACTAATTGGAAAATATGCCCGTGGTGATAGAATCCATGATGACAATCATATGACAGAATTTTGTAAGTCCACACTGAAGGAAAATATGTGTTTAACAACATATACAAGGAGTATACATGTAGACCTTATCAGATGTAACACAGAGGAAACAAAACAACCATATCTGTGGAAAGAGATGACGGAGACATTCCATGTCATCGGTCCGAACAAGGCCAGGTGCTGAATGCAGAGCCAACAAATGCCCATTTGCAAGTTCCAGCTGGATCTGAAGGAAATTAGAAAAGTGCTCAGAGATTAAGAATGCCTTGTGTCTATCACACCTGAATTAAGAAGCCATCTCCACACGAGAACACTAATGACCAAAGACCAGGGCGTTGTGGGATGACATCAAGATCATCGTGCATGAAGAAAGACAAAGCTGATTAAAATGACAGGAAAGAAATACAAGATCAAAATGAAGGTCAGAAGAGATTATGAAGCTTGCTTATGAATACAGAGTCACTAAATGTAAGAAATGGAGAAGTAAAAGAGCTGAACAGAGAAGACAAAAAAGTATTTAATGAAATATGCAAAGACATGGAATTATAGAAACGAAGGAAGAACACGATCAACATTTCACACGTTAAACTGGCTGAAGAAAAAGTCAAGCCTGGAGTGGGAATACTGAGGGATTCTCCGGACAAAATAGTCAACCGTGCAGAAAGCATCAAAAGAAGAATGGAAGGAATACTCAGAGTCGCTATACCAAAAGAATATTGGTTGGCATTGAACCATTTCAGGAGGTAGCATAGGATCAAGAGCCAGTAGTATTCAAAGAAAAAGTCCAAGATGCACTGAAGGCTTTGATGAAAAACAAGCCTCCAGGAACATGACCGCAATGAAAATGTTTCTACAGATGGATGCAGTGCTGGAAGCATTTACCTATTTATCTATGCAAAAAAAAAAGACTCTGGAAGACAGCTACCTGGCTAGCCAACTGGAAGAGATCCATGTGTGTGTCCATTCCAGGGAACGAACCCAGGAGCTCAATGCAGGGATGATTAAACAATATCTTATTATGACAAGCCAGCACCTTTTTGCTAAAAATCGTTTAAGAATGGTTGTAAAGTACATCAGCAGGCAACTGACAGAAAGTCAAGCCAGAAGAGGACACGGAATGAAAGTATTCATTACTTATGTCAAATGGATCTTAACGGAAGGTAGAGAAGAATAGAAAGATATTTTTCTGTATGTTCTTAACAAGGCAGAGGCCTTCAACTAGGCAGTCCATACATAATTATGTATAACTGTGCAAAGAATGGGAATATTCCAGAACACTTGATTGGGCTCCCAGGAAATCGCTACACAGACCAAGAAACCGTTGTCCAAAGAGAACAAGGGAATCCTGAAAATTTAAGATCAGGAAAGGTGGGTGAGGGTGGTAGCGTTTCACGCTGAAAACAATGGCGCAGCTAGACTCTATGACGGAAAATGTGGCATCAGAATTGGAGGAGGACTCGCAAACAACCTGCAATCTGCAGGTGACACACTATGGCTTGCACTGAACGAGAACCACCATCACATCGTGATCAAAACACAAAAACTACAGCTTTTAGGTGGATTGCAAGACAACATAAAAGAGAACAAAAACCCTCACCCCTGGTTCAGGAATCAGTATTATGATAAATACGGTAAGGACTGAAGTCAACAAGGAATTCATTTCACGTAGATCAGGGAAGCAGCCATCAGGAAGCCATACAGCAAACTGTACTGGGAAAATCTGCTATGATCCAAAGAGGTCACTTTGAGAACAAGGGAAGCCTTGGCCAAGCCATGGTTTTTCTCATCACCTCCTGTGCAAGCAAATGCTGGCCGGTTAGTAAGGAAGACTCAAAAAGAATGGAGACATTTAAATTATGGTGACGGAGAATACCCTGAACATAGCCTCCCACTGCTGGAAGAACTAACAAGCCTGTCTTGGAAGCAGTAGAGCCAGAAAGCTCTTTAGAAGGGAGTGTGGTTAGACTGGCTGCGGACTTTGAACAGGTTATCAGAAGGAACCTGTCCCTAGAGATCGTCATCCTGTTTGGTGAAGTAGGGGCTCACTGGAGAAGAGAAAGACCCTCAACACGATGGATTGACAGAGTGGTTGCCACAACGGACTCATTGGCGTCGATCAAAACACATTTAGGAAAATCTGTGAGGCTGGTGCAGGAGCAAGCCATGCCTTGTGCTGTTGGGCGCGGGGTCAAAGGGCTCAGAACTGGCTGGACAGGCCCTAACAGCAGCACATCCTCCTAGTAGCCTCCCGGTCCTTCCCAGACCATTCTCTCTCCACATTCTGATACCTGCTCTTTTCTCGCAGCCTCAGCCCATTGCTAGCCTCAAGGTGGTCAGCCACCTAGGCTACCCTCCATCCTTCCAGCCTTGTAAAAACTCCTTTATCCCCCAAATGATGGAAACTATCCCTTTAAACTCTCTTAACCCATCTCTTCTGGGGGAACCATTAAGTTTCCCGCTGGGAATCTAAATGACAAACAAGTGACCCATGGTTGAAAAATAAAACAAACAAACAAACAGCAAAAAAAAGTCTTTGGGAATCCTAAAGAGCATCATAAATTCTACCTTTTGCTCCTCATTCTTTCTTCCTGTGCCGTCCAATACGGTAGTTGCAAGCCATGTGTGCCTCTTCCCATTTACACTCAAAGCAATCAAATTAAAAAAGCAGTTCCTCCAACACATAGTTTCATGTGACTAACGACTGCCAGTTTGAAGACCACAGAAACAGACCATGTTCAGGATCACAGAAAGTTCCATTATACAGCACTCAGTAAGTTCCTCCATAATAAACATTAAGACTATTTCTGCGTGGAGCGCTACCTTATCGTCACAGGTGCAGCCCAGGTCAAAATCAGACTGAAGATATGTAACCCCTGGCAAATTGGGGCGGGTAACTTCTTCTGGCATGGTCGGCCTGAAGGTATTCGTGCGCAAGAGATGATTCAAACTCCCATGCGTCCCATTATTAGGGGCTGGCTTCAGTCCCAGCAGATCTGGTGAAAAGAGAGAAAAGGGTAGTTTGATTGAGGTCTGGTGAGAATCAGCACCACTGGACTTCCAACCAATTAGAGTCGGATTAAACCACATTTAGATGGCGGGCAGTCTTTTGCCTCCCGGCTCATTCTAGCCTCACCATCTCGCACCTGGGCTTTCTGAAATAGCACGTTCCTTCCTTGACCATAGAAAGAGATAGGCCCCCAAAGAAAGAATGAAGATGGCACGGGGCTCTACTTGGCTTTGGCCTGCATCTTTGATAGTTACAAGGCAAGAGCTGTTGGGGACAGAATCCCTGCCTTTCTGTACCGGTATGCATCATCTTGAATTTTGAAATGAAGCATGTAATCAATAAATAACCACCAGCCTGCCCTCTAATGCCCTCCACAGAAGTACAAGGACAGGAGAAAGCTTTGGCCCTAGGCCTTGAAACACCGCTGTGATTTGAACAGGCTGATTTCATCCCAAGTGGATGGTTGCCAAGCAGGCACACAGTGGCTTGCCTAAGCTGAGCGGCAGGACAGGGGCGCGCCACAGCCCAGATGGGACAAGAACCCAGGAGACCCGACTTGCAGGCTCTCCCTCTAACCACCAGACTGGCACTCCCTTGCTAAATAGGAAAAGTTGTTCTCATTCAGCAACTAGAAGTTCAAGGGAGAAAAATAATTAGGAGCACATAAATAGCTGGCCAAGGTGCATGCTGGGCTGCGACGCAAGAGATGGAGGGGGTAGAAAACTCAGTGCCGAACTCTTGCTTCACCGGGTCTCTGAGCAGCAGTGTCAAACGGTAATGCTATATTGGATCAGCCAAGGCTGCCAACAGCAACACTGCACACGCTCATTAGTCAGCTGCCGAAGAAAGACAAAGAAGCCTTAGAAGCGACTGATATTCTGTCCCTCCAACCAATGGACGAGTGACAACATTATTAGGGGGGGTTCCCATAAAATAGGCACCTCAATTCTTTCTCTGACACTGAAGAAGTCCGTATGTTAACTAACGACGGCTTGATTGGTTGTGATTAAATAAATGACTTACCACACATAACATTGTAAAGCTCTATGTTTTCAAAAGGAGGCACTTTAGTCTTATACTTAAATGTCGGGCCATAACCTACAAAGACGGTCTTCCAGAAAAAGAAAAGAAAACAAAATCAGGCATTGCTGATAGGTGGCTGCCCTACCCCCACCCCTCTCCTCGCTGCACGAAGGCTCACTGCCATTCTCAAGATCATCCAAGCGCGTATTCAATCCGCCAGTCTGTGGCTATACCTGCATGCTGTTGAGCTTGTTATCAAATCCATGGTCTCCCTGGAAAAAACATTTTCCCGAAGGTTTCTTATAAACATCCATAGGTTTCCTACAGTGAAAGAGTCATAATTAGTGGGGCATGCTCATGAAATCGCTCTGATTAGAAAAAGGAACAAACAAACGAAATCCAGGGCCCAGGGAAATCTCTGGAGATGCAGATTTTGAAAGCCAGGGATGGCTTGTCATAAAGTCCACGGGAAATGGCATTAAGAGATAAGGGAGACAGCGGGCAGTGTAAGATATGAAAATAATAATAACTTATAATTTATGAAGGATTTACAGGGAGGAGGGGAAAAAAGAGGAGCAGATACTCAAGTAGAAAGAACTTGTTTTGAAAACGATGATGGCAACATAAGTACAAATGGACTTGATACCACTGATATATGGATTGTTAAAAGAGCTGTAAGAGTGCCCAATAATATGATTTATAAAAAATAAAATAAAGAAGCTAATAGAATTTTCCACACACTTTTTGGAGTCCCCTCACATTTATCTCAATTCCCAGTTGTATCCTCCATGTGGTCGGGGAAGGATGACCCTGTGCAGGTCCCCTAGGCTCTGTTCTGACAACCCCCCAGGATAAAAGAGAAGGAGGGAGAGAAGCCAGGTGCCCTCCGTACACCTGACGCTACTGAGTGCAAAGCTCATCACAGGCATGTTCTTTGGGCCTATTTGCTTCATTAGCAAACCTGCTTCAAACCTGGAAGATCCTTGGTGTCCCGGCTATTAGTCTGTCTCACTTTGATCTACTCGTTGCAAGATATGGTGCCAAGCACCCAGTAGGTGATCTTTAAATGCGTCGCTTTTAACCGTTAACTGGAAATCTGTACTCTATAAAAATATTTGTATATCAAGTTAGCCATCAGCATAGTTTGACTAGAGAGGACAAATGAACAAGTAGCATATCTACATAGCTAGACTTCACTACGCTTTGAAACCCTGACCTCACAGAAAGAATCTGCATTTAGAGACAGAAAAAATGGAAGCTCTGTTTTCTAGACATCAAAACCATTTGAGCTTCCTTCTTATGGTAGGGAGATAGCTTTTCCGTAAATGTCATATGGTCATTTTATTAATGCGAATATGTCCTTCGTCATCCAAGATACAAAGCACAGAGGTATGATATTTTAGGATAAACAAAAACGCATATAACACACAACACACCCACCACTCACTCGTTAAAAAAGTACCTTCAACTTATGATAATGATTCAAGAAAGCAGAAATCAGGTGCATGGTCTTGGTCTATACTAAGCTGCTCATCCGTCCCCAGTGGAAACCCTGGGGAACAGGTCTCCTCTGCACGCGCACATCACCTCGAGTCAGAGCCAAGAGTCAACCTGAAGGCAGCTGGTGGGAAACCTTCCCACAACCAGAGATTTTAGGTTGAACATTTTCAAAAGTCCTCAGCTGAAATCCAACCCTCCTGGTGTGCCAGGGAAAGATTCTTTTGACTTCTTGAAGCAACAAGTAGCATGCACATTCAAAACACAAAAACAAAAGAGAAACCCACACCCAGATGCGAGATGCTACAAAGAGACATTGAGAGGCTGAGATCCAGAACACAGAAACGCACTGTCTCCGTGCTAATTGTTTATTTGGCATTCAAAATCTTTGGAAACAGTGAGAGGTTTCCCACTGAGAGTTTTTTGTTCCGATGGCTCAGAACCTTAAAGCACTCCAGATGATATGATGATGAGAAAGGGCTGGCCAATTCCCAGGTTACCTTGCGACATGCCATCTGCGTTCCACCAATAGATGGATGTCTTCAATTCTTCTGTTGTAGGCATAGTGCAGACGCTTGGGAAGATGCTGTTTCATGTAAGGCTTAAAGTGCTGATCTGGTCTTTTACACTGAAAATTAAATGGAAAGTAGGCTTTACAAGGCCTGTCTTCCAGAAAAAACCCTAGTAACCCTCTAGAAAGTTGCATGAGTTTTTAACCCAAACCAAAGCTTGAATAGTGAATAAAGGGGATTTTTTTTAACCCCATATCAAATACTACAAACTGAAAACAAATAGGCTCAAAAAGAGATTAGAAGACTTTGGGGATGATACTTTAGAGAAGGTTGTCAGAGAGGAGTTAGGAATTTTTCAGATACATTTCAGACCCAAGAGACCACCACTGAGAACCATTCAAACTTCAAGGCCTTCCTTTTCTGTCTACATTGAGTCAATTCAAGGAAGGCAGGCAGGCAGGGGGCGGGGGCAGCACGTGTGTAGACCAACGCTTATATGCTTTTTCAGGTCCCCGTCCTGAACCAGGAGCCATGCAACAGGCTGGTGGGCAGATCTGGCTCAGAGGGAGTAAAGATTTGTTGAATCATGAATGACTACTTTTCAGCTCTAATGGAAGGATCAAATACTCTCAGTTCATAACACTGCCAAATCCATCAGGATGCCCGCAACTGTCAGCAGGCCAGGGGCACACAGGCTCTCAGGCAGCACGGGCTGCGGCCATCAGCCAGGAGACGTGCACTACTTACCGTGAGGTTGGCTAGGATGGCTTTCGGGTCATCTGTTTAAAGAGAGAAGAAGGAAAGGATTTCAAAAGAGGTGACGGACAGATTGAGAGGAATCATTTTCAAGGCAAGGGACCCAATACTTTCTTGTTTATTCCCCCAGAAGGGCTACCACCCCAATGCTTTAAAACCTATGTGAACACATTTAAAATATGCATGAACTTGTATGTGGTATTTAATGTCTGTTTGAGTGACATGCAGCGAAACCTGTGGACCAAATCCCTAAGGAAAGAGCATCCCTGCTGGAGCTGGGTTTCCTCTTCTGGAAAGAATTCCTGCTGTGGCAGCACCGGGATTCTGATGGCAAACCGTCTCTTCGCATTCTCCAAATGGTCTCTCTGGAGCCTGGTCGTGGTTGATTTGCAGCTTAACTTCGGGAACTCAGCTGGTCATCTGGGACTTTTCAATGTCAGTTTCTATTTATCTGCAGACGTGGGTAGCAGGCTTTCATCTACCTTTAAGATGAATCTTCTCATGCACATAGTAATTGTTTTCAAAGCAGTCTTGTTTCCACAGTAATATCACGTAGCTAGGACCCTGGTAGTGTAATAGTTAAGCATTCGGCTTCTCACCAAAAGGTTGCTGGTTTTAACCCACCGATGGCTCCACAGGAAAAAAAAAAAAAAGAAGAAGACATTTGCTCCTATAAAGGTTGTAGCCTCAAAAGCCCTATAGGGCAGTTGAAGTCTGCCGATGGGGTTGCCGTAACTCCGTGGAACTCAGTAACAGCAGCAATTCCGGAGCTGCAGACCTCTCCAGCCATATGCATATCTGTGTGCCCCTTCATTTTCTCTAACAGCAAACAAGGATATTTGTGTCAAGACCCTGAAACTATGGCTGTGTATAAACTGTGGGCAGCAGTCTCCTATCAGAAGGTGCCCTGTGGAAAGGAGTGTGGGGAAAAGGAGGAGATTGTATGTTGGTTGGACTTTGCATTGCTTTGCAATCATTTGCTTGAGCATGTCATTACAGAAATAGCTGAAAGGAAAGCACTGTTCAGGAGAGATGCCAAATGCCGTGAGGTGGCCGGCCCTGGGATGTAGGGACCAGTGGAGCAGGCCTTGTCGACAGCATGGGATGCTCTCTCTCTGCTACCGGCACATAGTAGGCATTTGTGTTAATAGTTTTGATCAGATTGGTTGGAAATGCATGGACAAATTTGCCTTTGGGAAGACATATGCACACCTCAAAGACGTTTGCCAAAACATTAAGTTGTAGAACTAAGAATTCTGCCGCTCAATTGTAGATTCCATTGGACTTCATGTTAGGTCCATCACTGGTTCAGGGAAAGCGAGATCAGTAAGAATGGTGAGCGTCAGGCATAAATGAATTGACACTGTGGCGAATGTCCTACCAGAGCTGTGCAGGCCCTTACACTGTGGTTGCTCAGCTCACTACTGCCTCAGCAGCAAGTATGATTATTCCTCGCTCAGAATATGGGCATTAAGAAGCAGGACACCAGCAGTGTGATTGAGCAAGACACAGTTTGAATCTCTGTGCTCTTTGGCCTCATAAACCTTAATCATGAAGGGATGAAGAATTCAGTTCATGTTCTTTGATAAGCAGCATGGGGCCATCTAGAGCTCAGATAAACCCCGAAGGCTTACTCAAACACACTCAAGGCCACGGAGTCAGTTCTATTCATAGAGACCGTCAGCGAAAGCCTCATTTTTCTCCCATGGAGCAGCTGGTGGGTTTGAACAGCTGACCTTGTGGGTAGCAGTCCAATAGGTATTGGACATTACGGCACCAGGGCAAATTCTTGATTCCATGTTAGAGAGGTCGATCCTTAATTCTGAAATCCTCTCCTGCTCTCTTGATATGTGAGGAAGAGGCCCCCACCACCAGCCCGCATAACATGGAGTATAAGAATCAACAGATTGGGGTTCAAATTCCCAGCTGTGCTACTTACTACCTGTCGAATTCCGAGTAAGTTACTTTCTTCTGAACCTTGATTTCTACTGTCTGTAAAGGGCGATAATATTCATCAGACAGGCTCTTAAAAGGATTTCAATGAGATTTTTTTTACCTAGCTGAAACAGTGATGTAACCAAAATCTCATCGAAACACCATTTTTATATCTTGGACCATGTGTTATGCGTGGATCTAAATTTAATCTAACGTATGAGTATGCATACAGGGGAGCTTCAGAAAGTTCACTGAAAAATGGAACCAAAAGATCCTTGAAGTCTTCTACAAACTTTTGTAAGCCTCTTTATGTAGAACGTGTTTTTAAACTGCTGAATATTTCGTTGCTGAAAGCTACGATGCGATGGGCCCAGGGATGTTTTCAGCCACTATTAAACAACCTCCTCATTACATTTGTCTAACTGCCTCTCAAAATAAACAGAACCATTCTCCATTAGCAAATGCAAAAACCCAGAGGTGCCCTGGTCACATGAATGCATCCAGTCTGTGGCACGGGCTGGGCCCCCTCAAGCAGCGAGAAGAAGAGAGGGCACTGAGGACAGGGGAGAGGACACAGACACACAGCATGCTGCGGGCTGCACAAAGTGGCCTGGAGCAGAACCTGGACATTTCCCAGTTTCATTGACTTGGGAATTTAACTTAGGAAAACTTAAATTTGCAAAAATTTACAGCTGATGCCAGTGATTTCTTAGTCCCAGGGCTAAAGGAGCTCTAGAGAATGCTGTTGTTGCTTCAAGATGTAGCATCTCTAAAACTACACGTTCTCCAAAGAGAACGTTCAGGTGGCACCTAAAACATCTTAGTTTACAAATAAAAACACTGTCAGTGGCCCATCATCACCAGACTGTATAAATATAAGCAGCAAGATTACTCCTGCTACACAATTAGTCCAAAGAATGAATGGACCATACAAACTTCACCATACGAAACTCCGAGACCCACAGAACTACCTGATACCCAGCGACTGACTGCAACGACTATTCTGAAAGGTATCACAGTAGAAACGTTTGAATAGAGTGGGAGAAAAATGTGGACCGAAACACAAAATAAAAATGACTAAGCTTACTGGTCAGATAGAGACTAGTGGAACCCCTGAGAGTATGGGGCCTGGAATTAAACTCGCCCCCAATTTTCAGTGAAATAATAGAGAGGCTGATAAGACAAGAAATAACACTAGGGAGGTACACAAGCTATTCAAGATTGAAGGGGATGCGTCTGCCCAAGAACCACGTTCAGAAGGCAGGAAGGGCTAAAAGGGGGGAATGGAAACAGGCAGCACAAGGAGGAAGTGGGGATGAGGGATGTGACGTTGCGGGGATTACAACCAATGGCATGAACAAGATGTGCAAGAATTCTTGAATGGAAAGTCCATCTGTCCTATAAAGACCCAATTCACAACAAAAAGTTAAATAAAAAAAATTTTTTTAAAGGAAGGGGAACAGAGCAAGGAAGTCCTCAGGGAAAATCAAAACTAGACTGTGGGGCCAGGGCATGGCACCCCATCAGACTCGACCGGAAAACACTCCTAAAGGCCAACAAACAGACCTTGAACTATTTACAGGCTTTTCTTTTATTGTCATTTGTTGTTGTTGTTTTGTTTTCTTTTGTTGCTTATTATCTCTGCAGGGCTATCTAGATAAGATAGGTGGGATAAACAATCTGGA